GGAACTTCGACGCCGTAATGGATTGGCTGAGAGAGAAGGGCGGTATTCGGGACTTTGCGAGCAAGTTCCCCATGAAGCATCCTCCAGGGGCACCTGTCATTCAGGGGGAGGGCTATGCAACGTCAGAATGAGCATGCGGGGGAACTGAAACGGGACGCCTCAAAGTTGCATACCTGATATCGATAGATAGAAAAGCTTGGCGGAGAGAATCTGAAAATGGAAACCCCATCGCGGCAAAAGAACCTTGGGTCGCACAGCCAAGCGGGCAAACTGCCTTGCTTTACGCCTGTAACATTCCGCCTCGTCGCTTAACGGATGCAACATGGGGGCCAGCCAATAAATGTCGGTACTTTGCCGCCGAGCTGAAAGATAGGCTGTTCCAAACGAACGAGGTTCATGGTGTGTTGGGGGGGCGGCACAGCAGCATGACCAACCGCGATGGCTAAATAGAGCTTCCGAGGTTCCTTCATAAACCTCTTTCGCGCACCAAGGTGAGCCGAGCTCCTTCTCCGTGATCCCATCCACCACAATAGCCAATCTTCAGAATGACGGTCCATCCTATCTCGACGTAAGTACTTCCGCTTTCTCGTACGGGCCAACTACTCACCGCACCGTCCAGCGATGCCTCCTTTAGGGAGATCATCAAGACGAACAAGATTGTCTTGCTTGACTTCTTTGCGACCTGGTGTGGGCCATGCAAAGTCATCTCCCCCGTTGTTTCCAAGATGTCCGACGACGAAAAGTACCAGGGCGTCTACTTCGGCAAGATTGATGTCGAGGTGCTCTCAGATCTGAGTGATGAGCTCGATGTGCAAGCTATGCCAACCTTCTTGTTGTTCAAGGACGGTGTTCAGATGGGCAAATTGCTCGAGCCCAAGCCAGCAGAGCTGGCGAGTTTGTTGGAAAAAGGGTTGGAGACGGCGGGCGGAGCAGCCGCGGCGTGATTGTTGGGGCCACTGGAAGACGAGGAGAGGCGTCAGCGGTATTTCTGTGAACGGAGGGGTACGAACAGAACCTGTACCTAGATTTCACCTGTATCGAGACTGGAAACACGCAAGCTTGTCCTGTGCCTTGGCTCGCTTGATTGCGCGTGCAGCTTGGCATTGCCCATCGATAATCAGCTGTCATTTTCCGAACCGATTCGACTGGCAGAGGCTAGTTTGTTAGAGACTATTGCCGACAAAGGGAACTTGAAGCGCAGTTGGCAGAGGGGTCAACAATTCGACTAATTTGACTGGACAGACGACCGCGTCGGTGACTCGGTGCCGCTCACCGCTTGAAGAGAGTTTGGGGACCGCGCAGAACGCCAGTCCAGGAACAGGATTGAAACGCCGGAAAGTCCCGTCAATGTGAAAATCATGGGAAAGAGTCGCGAACAAGACTGGGATGCCAAGTCACGTCAATGTGCGACCGTGCGAGGGGGCTGAACATCTTGCGGAGAATGTTGGGGTCCTGGCCGGGGGTGGAGTGCTCGCCACGACGGACATCGCTGATTGGCCAAAACGGGCAGCGATGATGACGGGGTGCGGAAGAGTTCGAAGTTGACCAGCGGGCATTTCTCGACGCGACACACGAGGACACGCAGATGTTTCTCTGCTGGGAAGGGCGCGCTGCCGCGGTTGAGAGGACGTGGGAAGCTCGAAAACCAAGTGTGCTGTTTCGAAGCGGGAACGGCCAGGGCGGGGCAGGCTGCTTGGCGCGGGACGACCCCGGACATAAGTGTGGGATGGAATCATCAAAGGAAGGAACACACCACACAAAATGGCATTGTGATTGGACTTTGTTGAGCCGCAGATAAGCAAGAGCGGGAACTTTGGAGTTGCTCCACAGCCACCTGCAGCCTTTTCCTGCGGTTCCACCCAAAATGGCAACTCTTCTTCTGCATTAGGCGACCAGCCACCAAGAATAAATCAAGCTCAAGGCGCCAGTATTTCGCCTCCGCTCATAGGACACGCCCGCATATGGCGTCCGCGATGATTCTCCCCCGAGTGGACGGTACCGCAACCCGACTGCAGAGCCCGCATTAGCGGGACTGGGCAGACCCCACAACATGCCACACCCCCTCGCAGCCTTGCGACGATGTTACAATCATTCGACTCCCATGCGGTTACGGCGTTCGGAATCTGCAAGAGGGCTCCCTGAACAGCGAGAGGTTGGGGCGTTTGGCTGGTGCGTATATCCAGGATGCTTATCTCTCACAATGCGTTGGTCTGCGGACCTCTTTGCTCCTCTCGACCGTTTTTGCCATGCGGCGCCCCGCCTAGAGAGACAACTTGAACGCCAGCTCACCGATTCAGGGGCATTTCGAAGATTCAGGGCAATTCGCCGAAGCCGTGGTTCGAGGACAGGACACGCTTGACCGACCGCCGCAATGGGCGCTTACGTCTCCATCCCCGAGTGCCGGTCGCACTACAACATCACGGTAAATTGCGACTACTTCGTGAACGAGACATTTCCGGTGCCAACCATAGGGGGTCTGGGGAAGCATGAAATTCCCACCGATCCCGACATTGCAGGTGTTGGCGTACGTTGCCGTCCCTCCCTATCGCCCCTTGCGTCGCTGACACTCCAGCAGGTCGTGTCCTCATTCCTAGCGACGACGTCCCTAGCTCTACTCCTGAGCACTGCATCCGTACTTTGGCTGATGATAAAAAGGCGGGGGGTCCAGAAGAACCCACACAAGCACAAGAAGAGGGCCCGAAACTGCAATCTCAGCTTCTCGGAGCTCTGCGAGACCCTGGTGCTTGGGTGTTCGGACACTCAGATCTTCACCGGTGGTGCCTACGCCCTGACGTTGCGCTACTTCAAAGGGTGCTCGATCATAGCGTACCATTACAACATCATTTGTGGGTACAAATTATTTTCTAGAGCGGCAGTACATGGGCTGACGTCTTGCAGCAAACTTGATGCTGCTGACCTGCGCAACACACCTCATGTCCGTCACCATCGTCCGGAACTACTGGCAATGGCCTTGGCTGGGCATCCTCCGTACTCTGATATGTACCGGCGTCTTCATTGTCACAGGCATTCTGCTCGCGAACCAAAACTCGAGGATAGATGTGCCGTTCCCAACCGCGATACCCCCCAGAAACAGCGATACCGATCGCGTCTTCGTACTAGCTGCGTGCTTTCAACAAGGAGATAGCCAACTCACAGAGTCGTTGACAACATCATTCAGCGATGAAGGTTCAAGGAGGGCCTTCTTCGATAGCTCGCTAGGCAACCGCATCCCAGGATGGAACAACTACCTCATCATTCTGCTGCTGTACCTTACCGCAGGGTTTGTTGATATTCTTCGGGTATTTCGTCGGGGGTCCCTCTCAAGACCCGAGGGAAAACGAGGCCGCATCGTTGCTGGAATCAGGAGGTTTTTCGCGAAACTCGACTGCCGGGCCCCCCGAGCCAAGGACCCCAACGAGAGACCGAGCGTATGGCTGGGGTTTATCATCTTCTCCTGCTTCTGCCTTTATCTCCTCGGTGGAATCGGTGTCAGCGCCTGGACTGTGGTAAAGTCAGCCAACTACATTTTCGAGATGCGCGCTTGGGCGAAACGATCCGGCTGGCTGAAGACGGAGTCCGGCAACCAGAGCGCCGAGGATGATGCCACCTCCTTTGGACAGCTGGTTCCCATCTTCACCAATGTCATCCTCTTGTTCACCATTGCTCAGCTGCTTTCCAAGGCGTGCTGGAGGCATACCGAACGGAGGTTCGACATATACGGAGGTGTGATTCACGAGACGTTCCAAGACGACGTTAGCACGAAGATGGGAGACCGTCCTCCTTCGGCGTCCAAGTCCCACGTTGGTGTTCAAGTGCACCAGTATTCGGCCTTTCCCCACAACATCGAGTCGGAGATGCAACCAATCTCACTGTCTGCACCGGCGCCGGCACCAGCACCGGCACCGGCACCAGCACCAGCACCGATAGCATCTTTCGCTCCCGCACCGGCTCCCGCACTGGCTCCTGCACCGGCTCCAGTGCCTGCGCCTGCGCCACCTCCAGCAGGGGGTGGGAATTCCGCCAATGGCCGCTGGAGCTCGACAGGGACGCACCCAATCTCCGAGTCTCCAACGCCTCCAAACAGATGGCAGAATAGCCCGACACCCCCAAGCATCCCAGAGGGGTTGCACCCAACATCCACCCCACCACTTCAACCTCACCACGTAAGATCTTGGTCGTCATCTCAACAAATGGCCCAGCAGACAACTGGATCATGGGCGGCTCTGCAGCAACCGGAGACATTCACGTCATACTCTCAGCCCCATCGGGTGGCGTCGTACCCAGCCTACGCGGATAACCCGGCTCCAGCTCCTCGACCATTAGTGAGCGAGTATTATCCGATGTCCCAACGCTCGTCAGCAAACTTGGGGAGCACAGTTGGAAGCACGGCATCGTTCCCAGCGCCTGTCCACCAGCCTGCACCGCAGACGATTATGGGGCCCGACGGAAGGCAATGGCAGTTCGTACCTGTTCCTCAACCATGAGTGCTAGCATGTTGGAGATTCAGCAGGGGGTTTGGCTTGGATACGGTGTTTGGGTATTGCGTAATGGATAGCGGCAGGGAGTTCGGTTGATGATATCACAGGGGTGATCCGAGCGAGTTGAGTCGTCAATCCCAACAAAGTCAAATGTTCCCATCTTAAAATTCTGTGCGCCAGACCCCTTCGTTGGACATGTGGAAGACAAGTCCGTACTCGTGTCCAAACCAGACTTCTCTGATTCAACGAATCTGGACATATAGAGTATCCTCTTACATGCCTTCAAGGGACCACCTGGGATTTCTCACCCTGGCCTAGAACACTGTTCTCGACCTTGCTCAGTATAGAAACCAGTTCCCGAACGCTCCGTCCGCCTCAGCATGCACACTTCCTTCAAGCCGAGGCAACAACCCAACCTAAACTTTGTCACCTTATCAAACCATCCCATGATCCACCAAACCAGCCAAACGACAGCCCCTTTTTAGCCAGAAGATCAATTCCTAGTAATTAATAAAAGCTACAGAGCGGGTAGCGTAGTGGTCAGCGCGCTCACTAAGCGTTGATCAGCTTTGCTTTTCCGGCAGCGTTTAGCAAGAGACCTGGGTTCGAACCCCAGCCCGCCCAAACCCCCTTTTTGCCCGAGGGCAATCAATACCTCTGAGATCAGCCTAGCCCCATTTCACCACGTGAGTTTGTAGAAAAGGTATCACACCATCTCATTGCCATCTTCCTCCACTAGCAAAGAGGGATCATTCATATTTTTGCCTCCTCATATCAACTGGCGTTGGACCTGCTCGAAGATGACCCTCGCCGGACGATCGTGCAATAGATCCACCCACAGGAACTGCTTCAGAGCGGTCTGAACCTCGGTCCACGTGTGCAAACGCAGTATCGTCAGGATCTGAACGAGACACGACCTGCACCAGCCTTGCGTCTCGGTGTCATCGTCCCGGCCGATGTTGTCCTCGCAAAGAGCTACCGTCACGGTGAACACCGCCCAAAGGAGGATTCGGTCAGCGCTTTGTTCCTCTTGCTCATTCCCATCGTCGCGCACCACAAGCCGTCGCGCCAGCAGCTGCGCCTCGAGCGCTGTTTTCACCTTGTCGGCCAAAGAGTCCAGCCTTGCCAGGAACCCCTTGAGGCGCATCACCAACGTCTTGGCGTAGGCCAACATGCTGAGCCGGAGGACCTCCTCTAGCGAGGTTGGCGGAAACCCCAGCTGGGTGAGGCGGTAGGGTATCGAGCTGCCGACCTTTGAAAAGGCGCCGATGGGAATCCGGGCAGCATTTTTGTTCCCTGTCGTTGTTGTTGGCGTTGCCGCTTCGTTGGCGAGCCTTGAGAACTCACGCAGGTCGGCGTAGACGTAGAGCAGACGTGGGTCTAGTGTGCTGGAGGGTGTCGTCATGATAGCTTTCAACTCAGGGAAGTGTCTGGCGGATCGGCCCTGAGCGATCTCACAGCCCCACCCTTGTCCTTCTTCGCTGTACTTGTCCTGGAAGAGCCGGGGCCGTTTGCCGGTTGCCATGGCTAGTCCCAGGCCGATGCTGTGGTTGCCGTATTAGCAAGTTGGGTGCAGTGTGTCGAGCAGCTCAAGGTTGGGTGTCACGACTTACGCCTGGGCTTTGTGCTCGATGTAATGCCTCTCGGGTAGCGATGCCAGTCCGCCGCGCACTTGGATAATGCGCTCCAGCCCATCCAGATGCTTCTGCGTCGTTTCCAGCTCCCCAAAAGTCAGGGAAGCGGCGGCCAGGGAGGTCACGACAACCATAGTAGGATAACTCGTCGCGTCAGCTTTGCTGTCGAGGCTCTGCTGCAGGCGTCTCAGCGCCTGCCCAAAGTAGGCCCGCGCGGCGCTGCTGGCGCTGGCTTCTCCTCGGGCCTGGTCGCGGTACGACTGCGCGGCGAACAAGGTGATGGGAACCATGGCCGGGTGAAGGGAGAGGGTGTCGACGCAGAACGCGCTGTTGGTCTCACCCTCCACTCGAAACTTGGACCACAGGACGTACAGGGCCGGCTTGATGATAGTGAAGGCTGGCGCATGTCGGTATCGGTAAGTTACGGACAAGAAGAAGTGATGTTAAAAGTAATAATAAAATCAGAAGTAATTAAAAGAAGGAAAATAAAATAAAATAAAATAAAATAAAATAAAATAAAATAAAGTAAAATAAAATAAAATAATACAACTCACACTCGTATATCAGCTGCTGCATCGGCCTCGTCAAAACAGCCATCGGCCGCGCTAGGGAAATCTCCGACGCAAGTTTAGCAGGCGTAAAGATGGCCCACATGCTCTCTCTAGCCCCAGCAGCCGCAGCGGGAGACCATCCCCCCACAATCTCTCCGGCGCCGTCAACGGCGGGCTTGGCTGCGACCTTTTGCGGCCCGGGTCGTCCGACCGCCGTGGTTGATTCGGGAACCTCCCTGGTTGCCCGCCGCGCCCTTGGTTTGCCCTTGTTGACACCGCGCATGACGTGGCTGCGGATGAGCCTGCGCGTCGCTGAGTCCTGCTTGGGAAACGATGTGGTGATGATGAAGGGTTGTTGGGCGGGGGCGGTGTGCGTATTGGCGCCGCCGAGGGTGGCGTCATCGTCGGGGGGATCAAAGCTGGCCATGACAGAGCGTCTGCCCCAGAGGAAGGTGGAGCGTGAAAGGATGGGATACCAATGTCCGTTTCCGTGTTGCCCGTACCATCCGCGAGGGTTGGACAAATTATTTCTTTCCGCAGGAGAAGGAAGCAGGGACAGGAGCTTACGACACGGGAGTCTGAAAGGGGATAGGTCCGATGAGAAATCGGATCCTCATTGGTCAATATCATATTCCGTTTTGGGGATAGCCTCCTTCCTGTCGGCGGGGGCTGATGCGCCAGCCATGCAAGGCCCGGATTTACGGGGCCCAAAAGAGCCCGGGACGACAAGCAGGAATTGTTATTTATTAGACATGAAATGCCTCTGCGGCCAAGTTCTCATTTCCCCATCGTTGTTCTGCTCATGCAATTTTTGTTTTGTTTTTCTCTATCATGACCAAGTCCGTCTCGTTCAAACCCCAGACCGACATCCCGTCCTTGGCGGGCAGGGTCATCCTCGTAACCGGCGCCAATGCCGGGCTGGGCAAAGCGGCGGCGCTAGAACTGGCCCGCCACGGCCCCGCACAAGTCTGGCTGGCATGCCGCGATGCTGCGAAGGGCCGAGCGGCGGCGGCCGAGATCGCCTCAGACCCCGACGTGGTCGCCAACAATCTCCGGCCCGAGATCCAGCCGCTGGTACTGGACCTGGCCTCGCTCGCCTCGGTGCAGCGCGCGGCGCGGGAATTCTGCGCCGCAGCATCGCGTCTCGATATCCTCATGTGCAATGCCGGCATCATGGCGACAGCGCCCGGCGTGACAGAAGACGGCTACGAAGCCCAGCTAGGCACCAACCACATGGGCCACGCCCTCCTCCTGCGACTGCTGCTGCCCGTGCTCGAATCGACCGCCGCGCTGCCGGGCGCTGACGTGCGCGTCGTTGTCCTGTCGTCAGACGCCCACGCGCAATGGCCCAAGGGAGGGCCGAAAAGAAAGGTACCTGCGGCGACAAACCGCAAAAACAACGCGGGCTCCGCAAAGTACGAAATGGCCGTCCAAAAGATGCAGCTCGACCTCGCCCGCGGCACCCCCGCCGCAGCCCAGCTGGGCACCCTCAACTGCTACTTCCGTAGCAAGCTAGCCAACGCGCTATGGGCCCGCCGTCTCGCGCGCGACCACCCCCGCTTCACCGTCGTCGCTATACACCCAGGCGTCGTGGCCACCAGCCTCATGCAACGCTCCACCGGTATCCCGCGCGTGCTGCGTGGAGCTACCCGCCTCGCCGGCATCATGGGCATTCTCCCCAACGCCACAGACGGCGCGCGCAACCAGCTCTGGGCTGCGGTGGGCGACAAGAGCGGCGGTCGCCTGCGCAGTGGCGAGTACTATGAGCCTGTTGGGGTGGCTGGCGGAGCTAGTGATGACGCCCGCGATGACGGCCTGGCTGATGCTCTGTGGGAGTGGACACAGAATGAGTTGGATATTTTTCTGAGCGTGTAGGAGGGTACAGCCTAGAAGCTGGAACATGAGAAAATCAGTCGAGACGAGACAGACAGACAGACAGACAGACAGACAGACAGAGAGAGAGAGAGAGAGAGAGAGAGAGAGAGAGAGAGAGAGAGAGAGAGAGAGAGAGAGAGAGAGAGAGAGAGAGAGAGAGAGTACCGACATGTACCTAGCTACATTACACAATCAGAAACTTTTGAGTCGGCGGCATATTCTCCCCCAGCAACCGAAGTCGTCCGCCCATGATCCCACGCACCACCGCTGTACCCACAACCTCATAGTGCTGATGACTACCAGGCTGCTTCGGGCTGGGCCTTGCTATGAGAGGATGATGCATGTCATTCGGCCAAAGGATTTTGTCGCCCGCCCGGATATCTCGGACCCCCATGGTCCCGACTCCAGGTAAGCCGCCCCTGGTGACAAAGAAAGTGCGGTTTTGGAATGGCTTGAAGGTATATTGAGATACAGCCCCGATCGTTTCCTTCTTCGCATTGAGATGGCGTGAGAGGTCGCGTAACCGTTCCAGGAGAGCATTCACCTCATCTTGGCTCTTGGTGAGCACGGAAATGCGATCCGCCACCTCTTTCCCTTCTTCGCTTGATGTCTGGGGCAGGGAGGCAGCAGTTTCTCGCTGCGCAGGGCCGATCGACTCCAATTCTTGCTCGATGGCTGCGAGATGATGACGTACTTCTGGTCGTGGATCCGGTTCGGAAAGGCTCCAAATATCTCGATTGGCAAATTTTCCTGTGTGGAGAGCTTGTAAGAGCTGTAGCAGCAAGTCGACGAGATCGGGGCTGCACTCCTCGCAGAGGAATTTGACCGTTTTTGTATAGGTAATTGTTCCGGGGCCGTATGTGAATCTGCCGTTTTCTCTCACAGTTGTGGGGAATGGGCCAGAAGAGAGGTCAGATGGGGGACTATTTGCGAATGGCATCATCTGCCGCACCAAGCTATCGTAGTCGTAGAAGGAACCGGCCAAAAGATTTTCTCCCTGGTTCTCCACGCGTTCTTCTAGGTGCGATCCCACGAACGTGACCAAGTTGTAGAGCTGCGTGTGCCGTTCTGACCAGGCCCTTGACTGGTCGTAATGCAATTTCGTGTTGGTGGCTTGCTGCTTCGCTTGGGCAATATGGGGACCGAATATTTCATTAGCTAGGCGGTGGAGGACCATCAATTCCGGTATGCCGTCGCCTAGTTGACCGCTTTCCCGACCTATAGCCCAGACATATATAGAGTCCGTAGTGTCGAGAGGGGAGAGGACTAAATTCTCCAATTTGAAGTCGGTCCTCATCCGTAAAAAAAGCCGATGCAGGTGCCAGAGCTTGCCAATCAAAACCGAGGTGTCTTGTTCGTCAATGGAAAACACCTCGACGATCTCATCTAGCTCAACGCCCTCCACCGAGAGCAGTTGGTTGTAAATCGAGCATGTTAACCACAGTGGATTCTTGTTGGAGAATCTGCTTTGCGCTGGCGGCAGATGGGTGAAATCCCTGACCCAGCTAGGCAGCTTGAGAGAGTAGCGAACGGGATAGGCTTCGAAAATATCACCCCACCCATC